GCTTACGGAGCGACAAAAGAAGAAAAAGAAAAAGAATTCGAGGGGACTCGTAAAAATCCACACAAACTCTCGAGAGTACGCATAAAAGCTCATCCTCCGCGAGGCTGGCAATAAAAAAACGTCCGCGGGTCGATGCTGAAACGCGTTTGCAACAATAAGGGGGATGCGCTGTGCTCCGAAATTACGATCGCGTTTTGATGGCACCCCGTGCGATGTACCCGGAAGCGGTGTAATATTTTAGTTTACGGCGAGTAATTAGTCGAGCGGAGTGAAAATATAAATGGAGCACGGGACTACATGGCTGGGATTAAATTGTCGCGCTGACCGAAAAGCTCTGCTCGCCCGCGTACCGTGTATTGATGGTTTTGTAGGAGAGTTTTGGATTTTCCCGATTTTCGCGATCAACTGGAAATTTATCGCCCCTCCCTGGATCGAATTTGCAACGAGACTGATGCGACGTACCGGTGGAATTACAGTTTTTGACATTATTGTCGCCGTTCCATCACAAAGTGAACTTTTACGTAAAAACTATTCTGTCTACCCGCCCCATCGCGTAATGACAGCCCTCAAAACACAACACAAAAACAAAGTCACTTTGATACGAAATTTAAAAAAAGTAGCAAGGTAGGTTTGGATACTGCAGCCGAGCTGAGCCGAGTCGAGCTATAAATGCAGCGCTTTATTTTCCGCGCTTTAAAATAGCCCGCGCGCGAGAAGGACGAAAAAACGACGAGCGAAAGGCCGGGGGGAGAAATGTACCGTAGCGCGCGTCAGAGACGGCGTGCACATGAGCCGAGAGAAATAGATGAAAAATGACGGGGTGTGTGCTGCTGATGAGCAACGGACGACCCGAAGAATGGAGAAATATTTCAATAGGCGCACCCTCTTTTTTTCTACTTTCCACATCCAGCCAGACGATAAGAGACTTTTCCGAGGTCGGTTTTTCGGTCGACGCGCGTTGCAGTGGAAAATTTTTTTTCCCGATCCGATGCAAATTGCTTTGACAGCGCTAACAAACAAATCCCCTTGGTTGAATATAAGCGGAACTTTTCATTAAGCCACCTCGAGTCGAAACAAGAGTAAAATAGGCACCAGCGCTGTACGTATACGCGTAATACGTGTACAGCAGCGAAGGAGAGGAAGAGGAGGAGCTGCGATACATCCAAAATAAATCGGCGTGGCAGCTGTTGCGTCCGCGTTTCGCGTGTGATGTCAGCTCTCGGGGAGTTGCCGTCCACCTGGCCGATGGACGAAGACAGCGACTTCTCCTCCCCCCCTCCTCGAGGGTTTTTAATTAGGAATTTCACTTAGCCCCCTCGGCCGGGGTATAAATATTCACGCGGCCTATTTTTGTAATTGAACATTAACACGTGTTTTTCCCTTGTATCGGTCGAGGATTGATTTAGCGCGTCGCGCATCCACAAGCTTTTGTCCATGGACAGGCCCAACGAATTGCCGTCGCACCGTTGTAAAAAATAAAACGCATTTCGTCGCGCGTACACGCGATTTTTCCAGATAAAAATCAACGGCGCGAGCTCGTAAAATGATCCATACACGCACGGGGGCGAGGAAAAATAAGCAGAGAGAGAGAGAAGGGTCGCCCTACCGACACCTCGGCTTCCCCATAAAACAGGACCAGAAGGCAGTAAAGGGCACATTTGTAATTGCCGGTGGGGAGGTCGGTTGCATCCGAAGGCAGTCAACGGCAGCAGCGACGCGGCCATAAAAGATCAACAGCCTGGAAAATCCTGGCGCATCAATTTGAAAAGAAGAAAAAGCAACGACCCTTAGCATGCACAGATAGAATATACGAAATTCAGATTTCCGGGGGAAGAGGCCGTCGCGGTGCTTCGTTTCGCTTTGTTTTTCCCCGAGACGTCTCTCATATATATTTTCTCCCCCCGTCCCCCTTTGTCCCGTAGACACGTAAGACGCTCGAGTTTTTCTGGAATTAAGGCACCAATGGATGATCGGTCGCAGTAGGTGGTATGTACACCCGGATCGAAAGAATAAGAAAAAAACAAGGGGGCGAGAGGGGGTTGATTAAAAACACAAAACCCAAACTCTATGAATCAAAGCTCCCGCGATATTTCGCTCAAAACGTGTATTACATTACATTCGAGTTACACGCGTCACGGGGCGTATGGCGCACCCCTTCGGTCGGTGGGAGTCGCTGCAGAGTAAGCTCCGTACGAAAGTACGAGGAGACGCTGTCTATTTTTCCCGACGATGTTTTTGCCTGATTACACGGGCTCGGCAGAGTCGGGGGTTGGGGGGAGGGGAGAAAATATCGCAAGGTAAACCGCGTCTGCGGAGAAATGAGGGCGAGGGAGGAGGGGAAAAGTATTATCTCCGCCGTTTGATCTGGAAGACAAACGTCGCAGGATGGGGCGGACTTATTTTCCTCGTAATGCGGAGGATGATATATTCATGCGAGATGCAATAAAACGAGCGGAGACTCGGTCTGCGGATGATGCTCCATGGGAATTTAATTTTTGTGCGCGCACACGGGGAGATCGAACGGCTTTTGTCATTTCGCGGCGGCTGCATGGGACGGGGGACGCGTACAATAATCCAGACAAACTGTCCTCGCTATTGGTTTTGCCCTCCAAGATGCAAGATTCGAATCGCAAGGGCCTCTTTGCTCATTGATTTCAGAGCCGGATGACGTCATTTATTGGCGGATCCAAGGTGAACTTTGGGAGCGACGATTTCCTGCTGATCGTGCAAAACACTTGCTAAAACATACCGATTCCACCGCGAGAGCTCGATACGAAGAGGACGAGGAGCCTTTCGAAGGATAGGGAAGGGGTAAAATGAGGGAAGAAAAGTTCATTAGCCGATTGTAGCCAACGGTACTCCAAGTACCTACGAACTTTAGGCCGAGCGTCCCGCGGCGCCAGTGATGTCAGCAGCCCAAAGTGAGAGAACTGCAGGTCGAAAAGTAATTACGGGCCTCTTTGTACGTAATAAGTAATTGCCGCTCCTCTACACGCGATGTGCGGCCTCTGTCCCCTTCCCGCTCTTTTTTCTTCTTCTTTTTTTCCCCTCTCCTTCGCTCCTCTCTTCATCGGGTCGGCGCGATATTATTCGCGTCACGTCCGTGCCATCGCAAGCTTCCGCGTCGTAAATGCAGAGGTCGCGGGCGTGATCTGAAAAGCGTAATCTTCTCCCGAGAGAAGGTGGACAGATAGAGGCGCTGAAAAGGAGCGAAGGAGGAGTGTACAACTGGCCGGCGCGACGCTATATAAATATTGCAGCCGGGACGGTCGAGTCGTCCGGGAGAAATGATTATGGGCGCCCTTTGCCTCTCTCCATCTTTTTTTTTTCTTTTCTTTCTCTCGCGGAGAAAGGAAATTTATCGGCGAGTCTGCCGGAGACGGCGCGGGAATTTTGAACTCGTTTGAAGGGGCGATGCGGATCGTTTTCAATTTCTCTCTTGCACGTATCCATACACTCCCGATGATCCACGTGATACGAGCACACGTACGTGCTCACCCATCTAGACGCAAAACCAATCAATCGCGTGGAATCTTGGTGCTGTGACACGCGATTCGACCGTTCGTCCGTAAGTGGGATATACCCCCGTAATCGAGACCGGTAAATCAATCGGCCAAAACACACGATGTATACGCAAACGAAGCAAACTAACGCCCCTGGTGAGGTGGACGTAAACGGTTGTCCTTCCTGTATACACCCAACGAAAGCTCGCAATAGTGTTGGGGGATATTTAGGCAAAGTTTATTCTTTTCCCCCAAAACATCACCCGGCACGTGTGCAGGTGTACATAATACACCCAACTGTAATCATCCGGGTGGGCATCAGGCGAATTGCCATTGTTGCTGGAAGGCTCGTCCCGTCGTCCAGACGCGCAACGCCCGAACTTTCGCGTAACTGTTACTACCCTACGTATACGCAGGATGGAACGTAATTTTAAGCTTTTCCTCCCCCCTCTCTCACTCGTTGCATAATGAAGCGGTCGTAGGTATGCGCAAGCACGTGGTACATACATACAGTAGTGGTGGTAGGGCTCTATTTGCAATTCTCGATGCTCAGGAACTTTTGCGCCTTGATTTTATCTCCCTCGAGCTTCCAAAGTTTGCTTACGGAATCGTCTGAGCTGGCCCCTCCTCGCGTATACAGGGGATTATTAAATTTTTCAACGAACGGCAGCGCGAATATTATTCAACGAGTGCGCCCGAGACGAGCGTGCGCGTGATCGTCGGCGCCGATTGTCTAGCTTCCCGGAACGCACTAGGCCCTCCGTTCCACTCATTGGCTGCTAAATCACGCGCGCAAGCTAATTATAATACCGAGAATCGATGGATTTGCATGCCGAGTGCACATTCCCGAGCGCATATTTTCCTTTTGCGGTATACATACCAAAGCAGTATAGAGTTTAGATATTTCCCTCCCCCTTCATCCTGGCGTGAACTTGCCATTCATATTCCATAAAGCTCCCTGGTATCCACGGCATTCCTCAAGGACCCGAGTTCTCGTTGCGCTTGTGTATTCCAGCTGGAGTGCGCGCGGCCCCGCGACCCGGCGTGCGCTGCATAAGCTTTTCCGATATCTCGCGGACCCGGTCGTGTGGAATCGTCGTGTGGATGCCCATACGTACGCGGGCGTGGGCAATGTGGGACGTATGCGCGACGCCGCGCTCTTCGAGGTGAGAATACGGAATAGAGGGGGGGGGGGGTTTGGAAAAATCGATTGTCGCTTTCTCCGCTGGTCGTGCCTGTCCTTCTGAGCTATGGCTATTTCGCTCTAGGTATTAACAATCGGTAGCTCCTTTTTTTTCGAAGCTGGAAAAGTCGCTCTTGGTGCTAGTGAAAAGCAAAATTGAAACACTTCAAACATACGCAAACTTTTAGGGGGTGAAAACGACCCTGGCTGTCCCCAGTTATAATGTGAGATTTTAATTAAACTCGCCAAGTGTTTTGTCGAAGGATAACGAAAGGAGGGAGGAAGAAATGACCTGAAAATGTTCAATTTTGCAGAACGAAAAGCTGGAGGTGAAACAGAAATGGGCGTCGCGGCTTTTGGGCAAATTGCGGAAGGACATTACGCAAGAGTACCGGGAAGACTTTGTCCTGAGCATAACGGGCAAGAGGCCGGCCATGTGCGTCCTCAGCAATCCTGACCAGAAGGGTAAGATGCGGCGCATCGACTGCCTCAGGCAAGCCGACAAGGTGCGTGGAAACTTTTTCTTTTTTCCATTTGTAAGGTGTCATAGGAGAAACAAAGGAAAAAAAAAAAATAATAATAACAATAATAACAATGGTGTGTTTTTGTTTGTTGAAAAAGGTATGGAGATTGGATTTGGTGATGGTGATCCTCTTCAAGGCGATTCCATTGGAGTCGACGGACGGGGAGAGATTGGAAAAGACTGCCGAGTGCGCCCAGCCGGGCCTTTGTGTCAACCCCTACCACATCAACGTCTCCGTCCGGGAACTCGATCTCTACCTCGCCAACTTTATAACCAGCCACGGTATGTTCTATACGTCTCATACTTTATTCACATGATCTTTGCGGAGAAAAGCCAATTTAAAAAGCGCGAACGGAACTAAATATAGAAATGTTGGGGGGGGGGGGAAATAAATAAAGGCGGCCCAACGCACACGCCGCTTCCAACAGGTAGCCGCACGTTAATACGGTGAGCGTATAAAAATGGTATTTTCTGCCAAAAATAACACGCCCGCTCCTTTGCCAATCAAAAGCACGGCCAGCGCTCGTGGCCACGTGTACCTCGAAAGGACCCCCACGTGGTCCGCCGGCTCCTGGCTCGAGTCGCCGCTTCCCCCAAGACAACAACAACAACAACACCCTGGCCAGCGGACTTGGACTCGTTCTCGTCTGCTCGAGCCAACGAACTCGCGAGGAAACGAAAAGGAGAGCGGCGCGTCGCTTCATTCATTGGTGGGGAACGAGCGGGCCCCATTGAGCGCACAGTTGGTGCGTTATTTGGGCTTCGGTTCAAAGTCTCGCGAGGGAACGGCTGCCAATTCGCTCGGTCCCCCCATGCCAGGCATGGCCCCGAGCCCAGCTGTTGTGCGCACATACCCACGTTCGCTCTGCCACTGGCTAACACGCTTTTACGCCCACGCGAGTTGCGCCGCTTCCAAATTCCAGCCAGCTGGCGATGACGACCTTCCGAGTGGCCTTGGAGAGCTTTCGCTTTCGCGATCGGTTTGCTCCACTTGGATGTCGCGATGGGTTTTTGCAAAACGAGGGGTGCAATACGAGCATCTCGCATCAGACTCGTGGCTGTTTCAACCCAAGATGGATGTTTAAGTGTTTGCGTGTTTTTACGAAATGGGTAATGACATAAAATCAATCGGGTGTACCTGATAGGAAACAATCAAATCGATTGTCTAAAGGGGATTCATCTTTTAATGCACCACATTGAGAAGATTAATACAGTAATTTTTACGGTAACACTACGGTAAAAATTACTTTGAAGAAGGGGTAAAAGTTATAGTTTGGTGATTAAGTGACGTCTCAAAAAATTATTGTAGTTCTATTATCCGTACACCGATTGAATTGCCACTGAGACTCTTATTAGCTCTTGAAACGCGTGGATCATTGGTGAATCTTCGACAGCTAGATCATCACCAGCGGTTCAAAGTTCGCGTGAAATTTGGCGTGCGTGTGGGGTATCTCTAGTTGAAGCCGGCGCTTTGGCAGTTGCATGAGAGCGCGATCCAACGTTTACGAGCGGCCGGTCGCAAAAATTGGCATCCAGGAGGCGTCAGAGCAACAAAAAAGCACGCGACGCCAAGACTTGCCCGCCAGCTGGTACTACCGATCATACACGTGGTGTACCTGTACACGTGTGGAAACGCGTGACCCGAGATAAACGCCTTTGGATCTTGGCAATGATCTGATTCTTTTTTTTTTTTCTTTTGTAGAAAACATCTTTCGTCTGACTCGTCATGGATGTTACTACTGACGGTCGGCCTTTACTTTATTTTTTTCGTTACTCAACGAAATTAATAACTGCCACTCATAGGACGCCACGTATATAACTCGTAGGTTTGAGAGTCGATAAAAATACGTGTTTGACGCGTCTTTCATCAGTATAGCATTAAATATAACTTCGGGAGCTTCAAGCGCGCAACTCCGCTACCCTTCGTCTTGGCCTTGACGTTGCCAGGGAATACATTATATTGGTTCTTAGTCTGTATATTTCAGAGGCTGAGCTACGAACTATACATTATGCTGATAATCACCTCACAATTCATATTTACCTACACATGTAACGCGTATAGAAAGACGGCGTGCCTACACCGATCTGCTGAATCATCTTACCCCTGCGTTCTTTTACCCGATTGTACGAATACGATGGACAATGAAAGATTCGACGCCAAGTGCCTGTTTAAACTCCAGCCCTGCACATATCATTCATATGTATAGGAAAATACAGTCGTGGTCTGTTATTAGAAGTACACTGAGAGTATAAAAATTGTACTGTGCTAGAATGGTAATCTAATGTCATTCCATCGTTTAGGGACTTTTTACTTTTTCCAACCTAATTTTTACCATACTCTGGACAGTAATTTCTATTCTACAAACAATAAAATTCACTTTTCTTACAACAAAAATTACCATTTAAAAATGATTGTTCAAGTGTTAAAAAAGGAGTGTCTTTGTCAATAACGGACCAAGTTTACCGATATTGGCCGGATAAAAATGTGACGAGTATCAAACACCCGCAGTAAAAAGATGCGTGCAGCGAGACTCCGCCCCTCGGTCCCGGAATTAGAAACCCCTTGATTCAGATCTGCCAGGGCACGCGTGAGTTCCACATAATTAATCGCCAACGCTGCGCCCGTAATAGCAGGTAGAAATGCACCAAAAAGTCCCTCTTTGTAAAAAAAAGTCCCCCCCACGTTTTGGCGTATAAACTCAACCGGCACCCAACCGGCTTAATTTGGGCTCCCTTTCGCGGAGGGGATTTTTAAAGGCGCGGGTCCTGCGTTCCGGAAAATACGCGTCAGCGAACGTTAGCGCACCTGACACTTCCGTGCGTACGGGTACTCTCTGTTCCTCGCGAGCGCGCGCTCACACGCGAATTTAACCGTGTCAAGTTTCCGGGCCCCCTCGCGCTCCGTTGAATCTTGACTTTTTTTTTTTTTTTTTTTTTTTTTTTTTTTTTTTTTTTTTTTTTTTTTTTTTTT